ATCATGACACAGTTGTAAATTATATTGCGTTGCATCTTACAAAACACTTGTGTCACTGAATTTTCACTCAGTTCAGCTACGTAGCATCACTCCTCTATTCTTTTTGGTGAAGTAACAAGAATATAAAATACATATATTTTTCTCTCAAACTGGCAGGACAATGGAAAGCTTGAGAATTTTGCATATCCAAGTTCAGTGTGATTAAACAAAGCAAATAAGGCAGAGCCAGTTCATCGGCCAATGAGTCATGAATCCAGTGTGACTGCATACCAGGGAGTTTGACTTGATGGATAGAATACAAATAGGTTTTGATCATGTCAAGCCCTTGGTTCACCTTGTAAATGAATTGCGGTGCGTCATGGAAACCATGGCTCCTCAGGTGATTTTCTCTGGAATAACCATAATTAATAAGTAACAGACCTTTGTGAAGGTCTAGCAATTTTTGGTTCACTTGGAGTCAGTGTAATGTTCAGAAGTGGCAGTGAACTGATTGTGCCTATGGAGGTCTTATTGAATAGCATAACAAAGTAGGTCCAGTAGGTCAAAAGATGAAATTGGTATACAGCGCTTAGTGATTTTATGTGGATAGAGAGTCAAAATTGCAGTCTTTCTCTGCTTTTCACATTCATAGTTTTTTTTTAATAATTGCCTTTTCCTCTACTGGCTTTAGTACAGGAAGTAATAAATATTTTGTGGTGCAGACAGGCTATACTGTTGAGCCACACTGACAATGATCTTCTGGCTGACGTACAAATAGACTCCTCTATTTTGAGATTTCTTTTTGATGAATATGTCTTTAATCAGTCTCACATCACATTTAGATCATGCCTGTGTCTGTTTCTGTCATGCCTTTGCCGTATTTTTGCAGGTTTGATACATGAAATTATTGATAAAGGCTGGTGTTTTCATTCACTGATGAAGGATTTGGACAAGGTTAAATGGTCATGCCACACAGAAACAAAATGTATAGAGAGTTGCATGAATGCATACAAGAAACCACTGTCTTTATCCCAACATGCCTCTGATCTTTTGTTTACCTCTTGACCTGGTGCTAGTGCTTTATAGAGTTTTCAAACTGAACCACGGGCACAGTTTGATTCTCATCGAATGCAAGCAGAGACAGCTTCGGGAAGGATGAGTTACTCACATTATGTGCCGCCAGATTCTGCAACATTTAGTTAGGCCCTTCATATCCACCCCAGCTGCCCCACCACATTTTACAGTCTGGCATAAAGCAGTGCAGATTAGCCTGTGAACCTGAGCAAAATGCCTTCTTCTGGCCTCTTGGCTACAAAATAAATTCCTCTTTAATGTGCTATATCAGATTTTTCTTCCCTTTTATTATTTTTTGACATTTAAAGAGCTATGCATAAAGGACGATTTTCTGTTTAGATAAACAGAAATAACTGAGTATTTAGTCTCTTTGTGACCACCAGGCATAAGGGCTTTTTCCATTATAGGAACCTACAAAAAGTGTCCAGATGAGTAATGCTCATCATGGCTTCTCTATTTGTTTCCACTGCCCCTCTCCCCCACCGCCAGCCTTGGAGGTACTATATTACTAAAGTCAAGTTCCAGGAATACAAAGGGGTGCGCCAGCACAGAGCAGTCACTCCTGATTGGTTAAATATCCACTCTTCACACATCAATCATCGGCATTC